CAGGAAATATTTTTTCAGCTTATTTAAGTTTATTTGATAAGGATGTTAGGCAAAGCCTTTGAAAACCCCAGTGATTACATGTCAGCTCGTTGGAAATAACTGTACACGAACAGTAAAAATATTCGCTATTAAAACAGTACTAGATTCATTTGAGTAGCATTGTCGCAGAGAAATTATTTTCGGGGAAGCGGGCTTTTCAATTCAGATTCAGACAGTCGAGGGAAAACAGGGGACACAAATAATCATCCAAGAGTTTCTTGAAGAGTCGCAGGGACGTCGTCTCCACGACTAACTAAGGGAGAGCGTTCCATTTCTCCACTACCCTTTACGTAACAAATTCAGACCGAAGATTCAACCTGGACATTGTTGTCCTCAAATTTAAGTCCATACTCAAGGCCATGTATTATCTTCTAGACGAGGATAAGATCACCTCTTTGTTGCCTGTAACACAGAGGGAATAAATTAAGGCAATTCAGTCTGTCTGTGTAGGAATGGCGTTTTAGACCGTTTATCAGATTTGTTGCACGACGTTGTACCCGTTTGAGACATGCATGGTCATTACAAGCCATGGTCGCCAAGCTTGTAGGCCATATTCTAAGTGGGGCCGAACAAAGGTGCCATAAACTCTCCCAAAAAGAGTTTGATTGCATGTAGCACTCCCGTGGCGTTTTTTGCTGCCTTGTGGCATTGCAGTGTTGGTTTCAGGTTGTTCTGTATCCAGACCCCGAGATCCTTCTGTGCAGATCCTGCGGGGAGTCTAATATCTTTCAGATGGTATGTCCTCAGACTCTCATTTGAATGCGATTAGGTTGGACGCAGATAGAGGGCGGCAGAATTTTGAACATTGAAATCCAGAAGCCATTTCTCCGACCACGCTTGCAGTCGATGCAGATTGTTTTGGAGGACTCTCTGTTTGTGAGGACTCTTAATGACTTGAAAGAGCCAAACGTCGTCGGCAAACACTATTTTGCTGCAGTCAAGTTCCTCAAGGCTGTCATTAACATAAAGGATGAATAGCAGTGGTCCCAGAACTGAGCTTTGAGGCACAGCACTGGTCACGTTAACCCATTCGGACATATCATTTCCGATACAGACACGTGGTTTCCGACCAACGTTTTTCGACGGCGTTTTGCGTTGGATGATGCATGACCATGGTTTTCTCCATGCCGACGGTCGATCCGAATTTGGCGCTGCCGGAGGCAAAGAGATCAATATTTTGTTGCTTGCCTGCAACTGTCATGACGTTGGCACGCAATCATTTGTGGAGAGCAGATGGTGGAAGGCATAAGCTTGGAGAGTAGCCGTAAATAAATGCGTTGGGCTCTGCATGTGCCAACCATCGAAAGGTAAGTCGTCGGTCCTGTAAACGGCCCGGAGCCCTGGAAGCTCATCACGTTAAACGTCCATCAACACGGCACATAACATGATATTCGAGAAGGTGGGACGCGTACGCAGACCTTTATTACTCTATTGGTCATTGCGAATGCTTCTGAGACGGTCCCATTGTCCGTGGCCCACGTCATCACTCAATCGTGGGGCTGACACGCATGTGCATGAATTGCTTAGGGCAGCTGAATTGTTACATGATTTTTATAGACCATCAGGTTCATGAAATTAGCATGGGAGTGGGTCTGCACCTTCTGACATCGGTCTTGCTGCTAGCGGGTGGTGAAGATGACGCCGGTGTCATCAAAATTCGCGCTAGATTTCGGAGAGATTTTCGGTCCTAAATGATGGTAACGACAGTTGGGGAGGATGCGAGCAAAGATATTCCCAGCGAAGCCGAGTAGAAGGACGCTTCTGAGGTTGTCCCAGAGTTGCCTGTTCCATTTCCACTTGTGAAGATGGACGATTGTCTTGTACTTGGAGAACTGGATAATTTGACTCTAACATCATATTGGCGAAAATAGCATTGCACTTATTTTATTTGCCGAGGGCCGCCACGCAGTTAACTTTAACTGGAGTCGACGTGCAATTAGTGCTTTTCTGTTCGGAATTTTATAAAAGCTGCAATTTTTTCTGGGAAATAGACAAAATATCTAGGTCACTGCTCGTTTTATTTTGAGAAAGCGGTCGATGGCGCGTCGATAATCCTGGATGAGCGGTTGGTGGCTCTGAAGTGCTCGGCCCAGCGCTTCAGAATCCGCGTTTTCACTATTAATAAATACATTATTTTTAATAAAGACCCGTCGGGGTCCCATCAAAGCAAGTAAAATAAATTTACATAGGAATTATAGACGAGGTAGGCAGAATCTGTACAAAATGCAATTCATAGTTTCCGAATTAGTAGTCCGATAATAAAACTGATGAACGGCAGTGAAAAAACTCCACTCAAATATTACAAAAAAATATTGGATTGACTTTACAGGCGAAGAAACATGCCGCTGGTAATAATACAAAAAAGTCTGCAGAACTAGCCTGCATGTGGCGGTGCATAACGGATTATAAACGGGCATCGTCAAGGCAGAAATAAATGTCAGCCTTCAGGGGAACATATGCGAGTCGGACAGGGCTGGCCTGCATGTGGTATTGTATACGGGATTCAGGACCGACATCGCCACGGCAGAATTGATACGCCGGATGAGACTATTCGCGTCAAGAGGCCAGACGGGAGGAACCGAAGGGCGATCGGTCGCAGTCCGTTCTAAGCACAGCCGAGGAGTCATCCATGACAAGGGCAGAGTCAGGAATTAGAGAATGGGTCCAAGATTCTGTTACACATATAATATCATTTCCAGAGCAACGGCTCTGATTTGCGCCATCTTGTTTATAACTGACCCGGCATTCAATAATATAAAATCTAATGTGTTTCGAACAACAAGGCTATTATCGACAGTATTTAGAAAAAATTTGGAGGTGGATATGTAAGCTGTGAATAAATGACGCTGGGAGAATATGTACTAGCTAGTCTAGAGTAATTGACATACGTGGAGTCAGTAAGAGAAGGCCGATCATGAGACCTAAAGGATGTGGAGATAGAGTTTTCGAGTAATAGAATGCTAAGGGAGTTATAACAGTGATGGGCTTGTTGGTAGTTCAATTATGGAGTAGAGTGAGAAGGAGGGGTCTAGAATGAAAGTAGAAGCTAGTGGGGAAGGATAGGCAGCTATAAGGACAAAAGGGTGGGAGACCAGGTCAAGGTTGGAAGTCAATGGTGTTGGGTTGACTTACGTGAGAGCAGTTAGCCTTAAGTGGTAGGAAGCCTGAACTAGGTTGGGCCATTAATGACTTAGGGCAATTCACGTATGTATTATTTACTGGCTTTGATAAGTAACCTGTACGCAGGGCAGAGGGTTATTTGTTGGCATAGTCAGTTACAACGGGTGACGACTTACTAGTAATACCTTTTGACATAGATTTAGGTGAGCCCCTCGAATAAGATTAAATCAGGCCTTCTGACTTAGAGTTAGTTAATCCATGCTTACTTACAGATGCCGAGAGCTTTCGTCGACCTGTGACTTTTACTCTCATTTTGTTTCGAGGCAAGTTGGAATTAAGAAAACGTCTGACAGACCAGTTGACTGAATTTTAGCTAGAGACTAACGATGTAAAAAAAGATTACACAATCAGTGAGAAATCGTATGCACAAAATGCTAATTACAGAGTACGACTGGTGATCAACAGGCATAGACTAGCAGAACTCAAAAAGGAGATGGCAACAGTAAGTTCTGAATGAAAAGGCCTGTATTTAAATAAATTGAACCAAAATACAGTAGCCGAAATATTCAGGTCTCTTAAAAAGACCATTTAATATAATATGTTATGACCCGGTCTGGTACTTGAAAGCACGTGAGAGCGTATGTGTACCCAACTCTTGCCCCCAATACCAACGCGCCAGAGAAGGAGAACGCATTTGGCCACGAAAATGTGTATTAGGAAATTGCAAGTCAAGATTAACTGGAAGTAACGCATATTTGTAACGCCCTACTGTGGTTCACCGGCATTCGGCCCAATGCCCTTCGGGAAGAACATTCCAGACGATCTGGTCGATAATTCGAATACGCAGATCGATCGGACCCGGGAGGAAAAGCCAATGGAGGGACACCACGAATAAGATGACAGCGCCGTAGAGAAGACGCACGTGGCCTCCAGTAATTGGCTGGCTCTTGTTATTGGGAGTGTAGGCACTACGAACACCTCCCATCCAAGCAGTTCAGTAACGCTTTGGCGTGTACTGACCTGCATCGGCCGTGTAGGTCGGCGTACGCGGTTACTCAGACCTCTTGGTCGTGGTTTATTCTCTGGAGACACGGGGGCAGTGACTGATACCGAAGGTGCAACATCCGAAGTGGGCGTAGCTGTGGTTTCAGGAACCGGCCAAACTACCGGAATGGCGAAGTTATCCAGTAGGATGTCAAGAGGGAGTGACGGCACCGACTAAACTCCGGTTGTGTTACTGCAATGTCGCTGTCGAATCTGGTTGTGGTGACGAACCCAGATGTCATCACCAACGTCGACGTCTAAAAACATTCTGCCTCCGTGTGCTAGTACAGTTGCTTCAATCCAGTCTGAGAACCCAGCTCGATAATCACGAACGAAGACAGGTGTTCCGACGGAAAGCTTGCTGCTAGGGACTGGAGAAGTCTGCGCGACTGCATATCGGTAGGAACGAGCGCATGAAACATTGTACGCATTTTTCGGCCCATCAAAGCTTCGGCGGGAGAAACGCCATCAGGGGACGCCAGGTTCGGTGTTGTCCTATAGGAAAACAGGAACGCCTGGAATATCTCGTCCGTGCCCCCCTCCCAATGAGCTTTCAAGAGGGCTCTCTTAAACGTGTCCACAAAATGCTCCGCCTGACCGTTAGATTATGGATGGTAGGGCGGGGAGCGAAGATGCTGGATGTTGTGCTGACGGCAGAAATCCTCAAACGTCGACGAAGTAAACTGACAGCCATTATCTGAAGCCAGAACTTCCGGTAAGCCATGTTGGCTAAAGATGCGTCGTAGGAAGCCCATAGTCGCAGATGCGGTCGCTGGATTTAGCGGACAAATCTCGGGTCACTTCGAGTAGGCGTCAGCCAAGATAAGGTTAAGTGGACCAGCGAAGTCGATATTCACGCGTGACCAATGTCTCTCCGGTGGTTGCCAAGGTACTGGCGGTTTACGAAGCGACATCTTGACAACTTGCTGACATCGACAGCAGCGTCGAACGAGGGTGTCGATGTCGCCGTCGATACCCAGCCAGTAAGCAAAACTTCGAGCAATAGACTTCATCGGACTGGTACCAGTGCTGGCCGCATGGAACTGGCGTAGTACAGTGGGTAGGAGGGAAGATGGAATACCCACACGGTCCGCAAACATGAGGTAGGAGTCAACCACAGGTAGCGATGCTCGGCGGAGGAAGAGCTGGCGAAGATCGCGAGCGAGAGCAGTGGTTGGCCAGCAGGTCTGCACGTATGTGATGGTCTGACGGAGGACAGAATCCTGTTCAGTAGCATATCGAATGTCCGCGACAGTGACAGGGATGACTCGTATGTTGTCTGAAAGCTTACGGCTCACATCATCCTCAATCGAAATGGCGGCAATCACGGTGTCTTCCTCAAGTTTCCCTATGGTTGCTGATGAGGCCAGAAACGACGTTAGTCTCACCAAAGTCTGTAGCGCGACAGTAGCGAATGCCGAAACCGTAGCCAAAAAGGATGGTTGCCCATCGCTGAAGTCGACTGGCTGAGCAGACGTGAATGCCCTTCTTCGAACCGAAGATTGACAGCCATGGTTTGTGATCCGTCAACAACGTAAAGTGACGACCGTACAACAGTTTGTGGAATTTCTTGACGGCGAATACCAGGGCTAGAGCTCTTTCTCTATCTTCCCGCAGTTCTTCTGCGCAGGAGTTAGCTTGCGAGACGCATGCACAGTCGCCTTTTCAGACCCGTCAGGAAAAATATGTGAGACGACGGCGCCAACTCCGTGGTTGGAAGCATCTGCAGCAACAACGATTGGCAGCGTCGAGTCGTAGTGCGTGAGCTGCAGATCTGAACTCAGCATCGACTTTAGATGAGCAAAAGGCTTTTAGCAGTCGAAAGACCAGCACCAGGGAGCATCCATCTGCAGAAAACGGTTGAGCGGGTCCCGGACGTCATGCAGCGATGGTAGGAAGGCGCTATAGTAGCTGATCAGGCCAAGGAACGAACGAAGTTGCGATACATTCTTGGGGCAGGCATCCGTTGGATGGCCCGAATGTTTTCAGGATCTGGATGGCGACCGGTGACGGCAAAAACGTATCCGAGCTACTTGATGGAGTCTAGGGGAATTGTCCTTATTCGCCCGTAGACGGACGCCATATTCCTTCACGTGTTCGAGTACTGCGCACACTCGGTTTTGCAGCTCGGCAGGGGAAGGACCCACGATGATGATGTCGTCCACGTACCCAGCTGTGCCAGGGATGCCGAAGTGCATTGCGTTCCTCGTTTGTTGGAATATGCCGGAGCGGTCTTGACACCAAAGGGCAGCCCGGTATATTGGAAAAGTCCGCGGGGGTGTTGATGGTCAAAAATTCGCGCGACTCTGGGACGACCTCGATCTGCAGATACGCATCAGCGAGATCCAAATTGGCAAAACAACTGCCACCATTAAGCAGGGTGAAAAGATCAGCCGGAACCGGTAGTGGATAGCAGTTCGGCGTCAGCGCGGCATTGAGACCGGTGGATGATTCAGCACAAATGTGAATCGAGCCATTGGGCTCCTTTACCACAAAGATTGGAGCGGCCCAGGCGGAGTAAGATACAGGAACTAGAACTCCCAGTTCATCCAGAAGCTTCAGTTCACCCTTGACAAGTGGCAGGGCTGCATATAGGACTGGTCACTTTGGACAGAATACTGGTTGACATCCAGGAGACAGATGCATCACGGCTTGAGTTTATGCGCAACAACACAGGCCGTCTTGAAACACTGGAGCAAACCGTTGGACAATGTCCTTGGCTTGGACTGCAAGCTTAGCAGACATCCGCACGTGACTGCAAACTAAGCGGAGCGGCATATCGGCCAAACCGAGTTGTTCAATCCGGTCGAGACCAAGTAAGTTGAGGTCAGACTTGTTGATTTAGCGGGTTGCAGTGATGCTGGCACCGCGGAATGAGACACAACATTGCAGTTGCTCAATAAGCTGTACGAGACCACCGCACGCGCTTGTGGTAAGTCTGCTGCATCGTGGGACTGCCAAGGGACTGCCAGGGTCTATCAGAGATGACGGTGATATCTGGAACAGTGTCCAACTGTGGGCGAACTGCATGGCCATTGGGCAAAACGTCAACAAACTTCCTACTACCAGACTCTTTGATTTGGAAAGCGGCCAAGAGACTAGGAGAATTACCAACGGACCGGGGTTTGGACTTACGTTTTGGTCGGAAACGAAGCCTGGAATTAGCAATGGCTGGAGCTGCCTTGAATATCGAAGCTGGTGCTGATTTGCAAAACCCATCACGGTGTCCCACATGATTGCAGCTTTGGGCAGAAATGCTGGCGGAAAGTGCAACCTCGGTGCCACGTGACACAGTGCTGACAAGGAGATGGCGTAGATCTCGCCTTGGACACTTGCTTGGGCCGTGTAACAGTTTGCGATTTGGCCGATGTGACCGTATGGACTGAAGAATATGAGACAGGGTTCTGAAGCATAGCGGATTCAAGCTTGAGGTTGATCAGCGTTTGGCACTCCTTTGCCAGCACTTGGGGTGTGCTGGAGTTGTTCTGCTGCACTTTGGACTGGAGACGTGTCCGGATTTCAGCATCCTTGGAGGACTGGAGGCCGCAGATAAATAGAAGCCACTTAAACTAGTCTTCAGAGAGAGAACCAAGTTAAAAACGCCCATTCTCGCCATTGAAAATGCCCACATACGGGATGAAATCATCGGAATATCGTTTGCACAGTTGCTAACACTGAAATCGAGTGTTGAAAAGGGATGATTGCTCACCAAAAATCAGCGACAAAGTCTGAATCGTGTCCTTGAAATTGACGTCTCGGGGATTCTTGGGAGGATGAAGTTGGCATAACGCTCGTGTTCAGCCGGACCCAGTCGAACCTTCCATGCATCGTCCTGGGCAGCCAGACCGACAGAGAACCAGTCATCGTATCGCCTGCTGGTGCTGTTGGCAATGTGATCGACAGAAAGTGCACCATCAGCCGCGCTTGACTGGCCCATGGATTAATTGGGTAGCTTGACGGTCAGCGCCTCCATCAGCTTCAGCGGCTGCTGCAACAGTTGCTTCGAGTCAGCGTACTCGTCAACCATTGTATTTAGAAACCTGCGTCACCAATTTGTTATGAACAGGCCAGGTACTTCAAAGCAGGTAGGGGCGTATGCGTACCCAACTCTTGTCCCTAATACCAACGCGGCAGAGAAAGAGAACGCATTTGGCGACGAAAATGTGTATTAGGAAATTGCAAGTCGAGAATAACTGGAAGTAACGCATATTTGTAACGCCCTACTGTGGTTCGCCGGCATTCGGCCCAATGCCCCTCGGGAAGAACATTCCAGACGACCTGGTCGATAATTCGAATACGCAGATCGATCGGGCCCGGGAGGAAAAGCCAATGGAGGGGCACCACGAATAAGATGACAGCGCCGTAGAGAAAACGCACTTGGCCTCCAGTGATTGGCTGGCTCTTGTTATTGGGAGTGTAGGCACTCCCAACATAATATCTTTCCCTTATCCTCAGATTTAAAATTAGAGTTCTCTAATTATCTCTTTTTTCGAGGAGATGAAGTGTAGTTCCTGCGAAGATGAGAGAGTACTTAGTTTCAAGGCATTACGGTTGAGAAATCGCAATCGCTTAACCATAACCTTGTAAAAAATTACTCCCTTGACAGCAGACACTTGATTAGGAATATTAGGAGTACGCGATTTGGCTTACGTTATATCCTCCCTTTAGTTTCCAAGCTTATAACGGCAAGAACTTTTAACGCTTGTTTAAAAGCTCTTCAGATTCTTCAATAACTCTCTTTCCGTAATCTACTCTGTTCACACCCATTTACAGTGAGAAACAACAATTATCTCTAATTGTTTTGTTTTTTTTTGTTGCCAGGAGGGGATTCTACGCTTGGCGGTTCATATTACCAGAAAATTTGAAAAAAATACTGTACATCTATACGGTCATCAGGATTCTGCCTGTCACCCTTCAGACACGTACACGCATGCACTTCAAAAGAACTGCTCTCAGCCGCCCCACAATTTCATCTCTCAGCCTGTGAGAAATCCAACTGAGTAAACTGCTGGGTGGGCGTATAATCAACGATTCCCTGCTCATCTGCTGCTGCGCCTGTTCAACATGCAGAAAGGCAGGTTATAGTGGCCATGCTTAGTTTGAATCATATTACGAGTCGTTTGTTGAGCGCATTCGGAAGGAGTTTAGGACGATGAAGTCCAACTCCTCAACTGGAATTATTACATGTCATGAAGTATTCTGTACTTTTGGGGTGTAAGAAGTTGGGTCAGCCATGTTCCTTGTGATAATGAATGCCCTGCGATCACCTGAAGCTCTCCAGAGTTAATTCTTATGTTCGGAAATTACCTTAGGATTCTTCCCGTTGCCGTCATTCGGGTTCATCGGAAATCGTCATGGCACATTTAACAAAATTTTCTGCGATTACCGAGGCTTCCTAGTCATCTATAACCATTGGCAGTGCAGAATTTATTTGAATTATGTCTAAGCTCCGTGCTGATACAAATGCCCTTACCTACTTTGTATTGATGGAAGGCCCTAGGACTTTGATTTGTTTCTTGAGACCTCGTCAGGCCATCCTTCCATCACAATATTGCATCTCACTGCAGGCTTCAACCACACGCAGTTTGGTAAGGCAAATGTGCACAGTAATACATCGTATTATTCGGGCTCCACGGATCATTACGACACACTCAACAGAATAGTTTTTCCCTAAGACTGACTGCTCTTGATGTGGTCGCAGGCAAGACCCCCTTTGACTCATCGAGTTCATAAGTGTGTTCCGATATAGTTTTGTGCTGTGTTACGACACGAAACTATTAAGAGGTTGACATCACAACGTAGTTTTTTAGAAAATTCATACAGTTTTTCAAGCATAATTACATGATGCATGTTGGGGTCTTATTTAGCTGAGCTAATTTAGGCCTTTATGTTGACCTTGAACGGCGAAGAATAATACTATGCCAACGATTTATTGCTTTCAAAAAGGCAGCTTGCAAGCATGTGCTATCGCAGGGAGCGGTCAACCAACCGCGTATTTCAGTCTCTTCTGACGACACCATATGAGGGCATTACGGATGGAATAACGCGATTACAGCCCCTAACAAGGTGCAATAATGCCGAAGAAATCGACGAACTGCGTACAGAAGCAGTCGACGAGAAAGGTTTTCAACATTTCCGTCCTTTAAATGCTGATAAATATCATTACACACTGCCCAAAGCCAAGGATGGTTGGTGTGAGATAGTTTAGTTTAACTTATAGAACTGGCATCTTTCGTGGTCGAACCTTATGTTGCTAAACCATATTCACGCCTGTCGTTGGATGAGGTTTGTTCTTGAGACCAGTTGACGTCTGCAGATTGACCTTATATTGCGATGCAAACTTAAAAGACATCGGCACAAAATTAAACAACTTTTTGATGAAGCTGACTGCCTTCATCGGGGATTTGTTACCAAGTATTATTTGAAATAATTGTTTCAACAATGTATAGGGACGCTCTTTTACGTATAATGCACAGGCTCTGCAGAGAAATGCAAGTTGATCAGTTCCATCGATTATGCGAGAGGTGAGGACAGCCCTTTTACGTATCTCAAATTGTAATTTAATTCTGCCATGAAGTCGGATATACTATGCATAGTATTTTATATCTGTTGTTTTCCGAATTTTCCTTCAACTTCCATGTCTGAAATATATTTTTCAGTATCGTTTCATTTTCCTTTGTTCTTTTAAATGCTTTTAAGATGGAAAGTAAGTTTGAGGGCTTAAATAATGCGACAGACACAAATTTGTGTTAGAAGACTGCAAACATTATTTTTACGTACTGCGGTTTGCGGATGGCACACTCCATCATAGCGCAAATTGTTAACCCTTGATCACTGTGTGTGGAAATCTCTGATGAGCAGGCAGTACCCGGTTTCTATAATTTTTACCCAATGAAAGTCGGAAATGATAAATATGGCAAACACACGCATATGCAGGTTCCCATAGTCTCATTTGCTACCAGTGGCGAGCAGTAAACCATTTGGAAGTAAACCGTTAATTTTCAAAAGATTCCCTTCAGTATGCTTTGATGCGAAGACCTCTGGGCTTATTCCGCAAAACAGAAGTCAGGTGCCCATATTGAGGCAAAAAATACTTTTCTCAATGCCTCATGTTTAATTGCCAAACATGTCCACTCCTTTTTGTTTGAAAGTTGCAAACTTTGCTCTTAGAACTTTAAAATATCTTTACGATAGACAGCCATCTAAATTCCGTCTGGATTTTGGATAATACACAACGAGTAAATATGTCAAAATTTGACCGATATAAAACCATCGACTACAACAAGGCAGGATTGCGAAGTCCATTGGCAGGCTCAGTCATAATTACGGAGGATGAGATTGCTGCGCGACGGTGTTTCAGATAATGTTTTATGGAATAGCCGACATTTCCTCCTACACCTTGTACAAATTACTTGCATGGCGTGTGACGTCAACACTAATTAAAACTGCGTGAATCCTGGGAGGATTTTATTATGCTATTTGGGCAAGTGAGAATCAGCCGCATAAACTTAGCTGAACTTTTAAAGCAATTACTTTCTGGTTATCAAAAACTGTAATATTTTACTTCATTGATAATCTCTGACTCATGTTTTTAACATCATTTGTGAAACAATGCCCCTATTTGTTCAATACGCATATATGAAGGCAGCATTTTATTCAAGATAAAAGACATACCTAGCTCAAAACAGGGTAGGTCTAAACGTCTCATGGTAATATGCGCCCACCACCCCATTCTCTTCTCTGAGCTAACAAACTCCGAATGGATCACAGGATCATCACCGCATGAATGTGGTATCCGCAGACCTATATTTACGGATCTTAGTCGAAAGATTTACTAGTTTGCTCTGAATGTCATCAGCAGCCCTCTTTGGATGTCCATAATAATTAACAGGCGGTATAATGGATGATGTCGAGCTTATTTTTTTAAGATCTGAACCTGTGCATGAAAGGGACTGATGTAAACTGTTAAGCAATTATTTGTTGGTTTTAGTTTGCTAATTGTATCCCCATTATCCACAAAGCAGTTTTGGGAAGACTTTCTATTCATTGAATTAAGAGCGAACGATAACGAACAGACTCGTTATGCACTGAAGATTGGGCAAACTTGGCTTATATCAAAATATATGAAGTTACTTTTTCCCGCAAGTGAATCATCCGAAGATCAGAATTACTAAACGTGAATTTCCTTAGCAGGTTAACCGTTGAATTATCGGGAGGTCTGCAACAACTCATACTGATCTGCATGTTTCTGCCTACACTGTGATCGGCCATAATGGGTCGCTCTGCACGTGGCGTCCTTATTGAGGTTGAGCATAACCAGAAAGTAATGCATCCTTCCACATTCCAATAAATCAGAGTCTTCTGATTGCTGTTAGATCGACGCCTTTTGTCTTTTCTGTCGAATGAAACAGGCAAACGTACATTTTCCATGCTTTAGCATTAAGGGGAATCTTACTTACCTAACCCGTGTTCGCCATACTCTACGTGACTTCTGCAGGCCATTTGCAATAATTTATCAAAGACATTCGGAATGTGTGCGTGCAGCCATCAAATTAGATGATACCTCGAATGGCTAACGCCGACTTAGAGGGTATCATGATCTTTATATTTCCGTCAGAAAATGGCAACAATTTTATTAAAGTCTCTGTGGAGACCTTTTTTATTTACTGTGTGCCGCATGGAAATTTCATGGCTAGAGATTTTTGTGTTTGTCAGAACAACTGCATTATGCATACGTTCGTAGATCTAGTTTTTTGTCTGTAGTTAGCAGTGCCCTTTACGAGAGAAAATGCTTCCATTACACTCGCATAAAATGTCATATCTGAATGTGCTAATCTAATTTGCCGAAGTTCCGCTGTTGCGAAATGCAGTTTTGGGAGCTCGATTTCGATAGAACAAAAGTTTTGAACTCGATCAGGGAATACGCATCACGATAGT